AGAATTGTCAAGTCTCCAATTACTTATTCCTATAACGGCAACTTCCGGAAGTTCTGCAGGATAATTTGGTTCAAGTAAAGAATGTAAAACTTTTAATGGATTATGAGGACTTTTTTCGGCCAAGCCAACTGATTAAAAATAAAAAAAAAAAATAATGCATTAGTTTGATGAAAATTTCTATTATAAAAAATAAAATAAAAAATAATCAAAATATTTACTTTCATCAAGTAAAACAACAGTGATTAACGGAAATTCTTCCGAGTTTCCTTTTTGATAATTATTTGCTTTATCGAATACTGTGCTGATACCGTCAGATGTCGAAGATGATGATCCTTGGTGAGGAACCACATATACCTGCAAATCATCAAGATTATTGAAAAAAATGACCTCAAATATTATCACTTTGTTGGATTAAAGTTTGCTTACTTGAGGGAGAGTTCTAAAGTATGGATCATCAGAATCATTACCACGAAGACTTTGACTAACTAGGCGAATAGCCAGAGATTTTGATGCACTAGATTAAAAGAGAAAAAATTATGCCATCAATATATTTTTTTTACATTTACAGAATATCAAATGAATAAAGATGACTCACCCCGGAGCACCAATGATAAACAGCGGAATACGAGTTAATATGCATACGGTAATCGCAAGTACATTCTCAAGGAGAGCAAAGTTCTCAGCCACCATACTTGGCTTCGTCATACGTTTCATAAAATCTTTCTGCTCTCCTTGAACAACTTCCATAAAAGTTTTATAATCTATTTCTACTCCATTCTCTTCGAAAATTTCACACATTCTTTCCTGATATCTATTACGTAACTCTTGATCAAAAAACCTAACTTGATAACAAAGGCTTAGTGCTAATATATATGATTTGATAATATTGTTTGGACCTCCTTCAAAATAGGATTTTATATCACTTGCTAAGCGAAAAATTTTGGATCTGACATTCTGTTCAAATAGTTTTTCTGCTATTTTTTGACGTTCATCAAAACTTTTGCAAAAGAACTTAAATATAATTATTGCTCTTTTTACATCACGCAAGCTAACACTATGCACTCCTTCATGAGTTCTTACAAATTCTTGAGACGCAAATAAAAGCTCTGTAAATAAATCTGCTTTTTGTAGGTTTTTCTGAGATTTTTTGATCATTATATTAATATAAATCTTTTCATTTGAAGGCTTTAAAACACCGTAATCCCAAACATAGTCTAATATTTGGTCTGGAAGTGGTCGTACTTGATAGACAAGACTATTCTTTTCTTCGTATCTGTCTGTTAAGAGTCCTGCTTGAGTATCAGCTTTTTGACGAAAACGATAAGGGTTACAGGCTGCAAAAAGTCTAATATTTTTATGAATTTCTTTTCCTAAAGTTTACAAAAAAATATATATATATGCAATTGTTATCACTTTGTGAAAATTTATGCAAAACTTAAGTGAAAGAAAAATATACAGACCTAGAAGCAACCGATGAGCGATGAGATCTGCAATAATACCGATATGGTTGCATGTATTAATCTCATCAAAAAACAACCATATTTCACCTTCCTCTGCAACAGCTTCCGCATCAAATAGAAATTCAAGTATTCGTTCCTTAGTTACGCCAGCATGTAGGTTTAGAATTTTAAATTTAACATTAACGACTCCTGAAAGGAACTGAATGAGACTTGTCTAAAGCAATATCACATAATAGGATCATATATTAGTATTCCATAGTTTAAAGTTTGCTGGTAAAAAAAATTTAAAGTTTTATCACCTTGCCGCATCCGGCCTCACCGCAAATTACTACGGGTACATTTGCTCTTGTTCTCAATAAAATCAGTGCCATCTTTAAAAGGTTATCTGCAGAAAGTGCATATGGCGCATATTCACGTTCCTCGTGTGTTGTTCGTGCCAAGCATTCCAATTTCTTCAAGATATCTTCACAAGACATATCATCATAATTATCTAGAACGAAATTGGAATTTGCGGGAAAATGTTGACTCCTCAACAAATTTTCAACATTTTTTGGAACCTTGTTTCTATCCCGATAAAGTGCACAGATAGAATCAGGAGATTGTGATAAGAAAAATACTAATAAGTGATTTGAATCTTCCCAATGTTTGATGTTCGTTATGCTTATTTCCTTGTTATTCTTTTCAGAAAGATTTTTGAGCTGATCTTTCTTTGAATTCACTGATCGAGTTGCAAAATACATGGATACTTCTATTAACGTTTCTAATAATGTCATTCGGATGTTGACTGCTGCCATCCAATTTAATGTATCCACACGAAAGAATGCACTAGATGACATTCTTTTTAATTGATCCGCAAGAACATTGACAAATATTTCAAGAAAACGATAGGTTTTTATTTCTTGAGTAACTTTATCAAAAAAGTATTTTTGCAACAGTTGTCGACAACAACTTTCTGAGATTAGCTCTTCTCTGCCATTAAGGTCAATGTCAATTGTATTGATTGTGTTACGATCATACGCATCTAAATAACTTGCAACAATTTGGATAGGACTGTTCACATCTTGAGGAATAATTGTGTTGTTGATATTCCATGTCAAATGCGTTTTTTCCAAATGCCCAATAATTGGTATCGAATTTAGCAAGTCTTGATTCATGGATGATTCTATTTCTATATATATTTGCATCGGTGAGATACTTAAGAAATCAGTTCTGTCTCTCACAATTTTAAATGATAGAAATTCGAATAAAAACATGTCTATATCATAGTGATTTTCTATTAACGTGATATTTAAATGTAAACTTTCAGTATCTTTTAATTTAATCTCTGACAATTTATGCACAAGTATTCCAAATGTCATTCCATCACTTATTAAAAATTTTCGGGGGACCAATCCATGAGTGGAACTTTGCTCTTCAATCCACTTGGTCTTTCCTTGCCCGGATAAATCCGAAGAAACTGCCATTACATTAGGACACAATTCTTTGTAAATGTTGTGCATTGAATCCGCATCAATACCCTGAATCACATGTGTATGTTCTGAAAATTGATCTAATATATGATGATGCATGCTATTTTCAAGACAACAAATCAGGACCAGATAATATTGGTTATCTTGCTGACATAAAGAACGTATGCTTGATACCAATTGATATTGCAATTCAAAATCAAGAAATTCCACATTTGCAATGAAAAATAAATGTTCACCATATCCATTCTTTGCAGCAAAAAAACATCGTTTTGTGAATGTGAGAAGTTCTTCTTCTGTAGTAGAAGACTTACAAATTAGAAGTTGCCATGCTTCTGGATAGCATTTATTATGTAAATTACATAAAGACATAATAATATTTGGCACCCTAAATTTATTATTACATTTTGCGATGAAAAGATGCCCTTGATGAACTTCATTTACGGTCTCATGATTAACAATGGCTGTCATATGGCGTTTCATTGTAGGAGTTTGACTGAATATTCCATGTAATATGGTACCAATCTTGCACAATATACTGTAATAATTTTTTGGTTTAAGAGAGATTTTAAGGATATCAGAGTCAATGTTTGGTAATTCTGCTTTATCATTGACGTATCTCAAGAGGATCGAACATTTTTCTTTGATATCAGATCGTGCAGTTGCAATATTTTCGCTGCATGAAAAATAATCATAAAAATTTAAAATATGTTGTGCTAGAAAAAAGGTTAAATAATAGTGATTTTTCTGTGCTTCATTAACAATTTTTTCCCAATTTTGTAAATCATCTTGCAAAGTCTTCAACAATCTTTCCATATCTTGAGTAGAATGTGTAGATATCTGAAAATCACGATACTCAAAATGTCCAAGTTCCTTTAGCGATGATGCAGTATCAATTATTTCTTGTGCGAGGTCAACTCTAATGACAAATTGATTCATATGATCTAACGTGATCTCGCTAGCTTTAATACTTTCATTATCTAAAATCTTCGCATTGGTGAAAGCTTTTGCATTTGTAGGAGCTTTCGCGATCAATAAGGCTCGGCCACGCAAATCTTGAAGGTCGGCAAAGGTATATTTCGCAGTGCCGTCCCTTAAAATGTCAGAAGAATATGATAATGTTGCGGTATATCTACTATCATCATCCTTCATTCTCTCAAATGAATATACGCCTTTTGTCACTGAATAGAAAATCTTTTCTTTTGTCATCTCTCCACGGTTAGAAATATTTTTGTACATATTCATTAATGCTTGTGCATTCGCATTACATAATCGTAACTTGAAAATAAGAGATGAATTCTTCTTTAAGATACCATGTAAATTTAGCAAGAAATTTTGCAATTCCTGTTCTGCTGACTGCTTATAATTTCCTTTCCCTTCCTCTAATAAAGGTTCCAAGATCTGTTTTACTTGAATAAATGTCTGGACAGTATTTTCTTGGATCAAACGTTCATCTGAATGATCATCAACTCCATTGATTAAGTTTTTGAGATTATGACCGACAAGTGATTTAAGAAAAATAACAAAATCTATAGCTGAAGAAATTTCCGTAATTATTGACCAAACGTCATTTGTTAATGACGATTTCTTTTCAATTTCATTAAGTCGATAAAAAATTTTAGGTAGCTGGTAAAGTAGTAAATCCTTATCTTCTAAGTTCTTTATTAGTTCTTCGACCCAAGATTCTTGATCACATTGAACAACACCTAAACCTTTAATCACAATCTGAAGTTGACATAGTCTTTCCAATGCCGGCGAGATAACAACTAAAAATTTCACTGAGTCAATCAATCTTTGAATATTGTTCTCGTTGTTTCCAGTATTACTACTCGACTTAAGTTTTTCAACATAAGGAATCATAAACTTAATTTCTTTATCAACATGTTCAATATTAACATTTTTCCAGAATTCATTTGCAACAGAACATTTAATTTCTTCCCATTTACCATATTCTTCGCATATTGTCTTATAGTTTTCAATGGCTTCTTTAATAATTTTATTCATTACTTGTTGAACTGTCAATTCCTCTTTCAATACAATTTGAAAGGCGTTGTAGAAAGTTTGTGATTCAATTAAGTGATAATAATCTTTCATAATTTCAATAGTCACGGAATGCATTGACCAATGATCTTTGGTGTATGATTCTTCAAGTGTGGCATCAATTGATCTTTTTTCTAAATTATCCAAATATAGTTTCACGTCTGAAACTAATTGAGAAGGACAGAATTGTTTATAAAATTTTTGGAGGCGTTCCAAAATTGAAATGTATTCATAACATTGACTGTAACTTTCTTCTACAACTTTGTATGGAATTATATTATATTCTCCCGGATAATTTTCTATAGCAGAATTAAGATAATTATTGAGAAATCTGTTGCTATTGATAAAGTATTTGAAAATTTTCTGAAGTAATCTTATTGTAATAGTACGATTTTTAATGCTCGTAGCTATATGAATCACCATTTCGTATACTTCTTTAAAATATGGATGAGAACATAGCTTCTCTGTATGACCTTTTGCTTTAAAAATTGCCATCCAAAATTTCGCAAATTGAAATATTGAAAGTTGAAAAGATTCTACTTCTGAAAATTTAACATCCTTTGCTTGTTGTAAGCGATCGAGTATAAAACATAAAATTTCTTCACAAGAAATGCGTAAATTGAAATTTTCGGATTAATTTAAAATATTAATTCAAAATATATTGTAATTTGAAATTATTTTAGATAAGTTGTATGTTAAATATTTCATACCGATTTCGGATATTCAAACTCGTTGTGCTACGACAAATCTGCTTAATTTTTTCCAAGAGACGTTCATTAGGAACTTGAACAAGAATTCCGACTCTTTCTTTTACCACAGATATAAAATGGACTCTTATGTCTTCATGAAAGTCTTCAATAGACGATGTGATGGAAAATAAAGAATCATCGGATAATGACGTCATAATATTATGATTTAACAACTTGTTCAATATTTCTCGACCATGCTTCGAAGTTGTATGCATCATTGAAAGATAACGGAAGATGTCGTAGGTCTCATTTTTTTTACAGATTTTTATAAACCATGTGATCGATTCTCGCTCAAGATCCCTTTTAATTTCCTCTAAATTCAATCCCGAAATAAATTTAAAAATTTCAGGAAAAGATTCTAATACAAGTGTTTGATTGGATCCAGCAATTGCTCTGAGTACGCTAGCATAGTCTTTATTTTGCCACCCTAAAATAGGTTCCATAAGAAGCCTGTGAACTGAGGAGATATTTTCTTTATTCCAACGTAATTTTATATCTTTAAGCAATTCCAAAAGTTTTTTACGAACTTCGTATTTAATAGAATAGTCATTCCCCAAATCTTTAAAATATTCATGCAGGTGTACGAGACATTCTACATTATATGAGATTTTAACAAGCTTAATAATCGTTTTATTTAATGCATTAGAATTAGAACTCTTAAGATCATTGATGCTAGGCTTTATTTCTTTCAATAGTTTTACGAAGTGATCAGGTTGCTTTTTATAATCATATATTTCTATCGAATCAATAAATGAGTATGGTATATCCAATTTAGCAGCAAACGCAAAAATTATAATCCAGTCAAGGAAACCGCTCTTAGAGTTATGTTGAACTAAAGCTCTGATGGCTCTCTCGATTATAGGTTTCGTATTGGAAGGCAGACCATAACAATCATCGATGCTTTTAAATTCCTTTAGCATGATGGAGGATGGGAAATGATACGGAAGACTGGGGTTAAATGACCGGTATTCTGTGTAATGACCAAGGAGAACACACAAAAATAACACTTGCTCTTTTGTTTTGCTTGCAAATAACGATAAACACTGCTTAATGAAATTAATAATCTTTTCGAATTCTTCCCTGTGATTTCTTAATATATATTGATAATCTAAAATACCACAATTTAAGGTATCAGGAGATTTGATAGTCTTGTAGATATAATCGATAAATGAATAATCTTCATTTAAAGCTTGATTTTTTTTAAAATTTTCATTATCTTTCCAAATGTCATAAATGTTTTTACGATTTTCCAATCGTCTATCATTTTCAGACCCACATCCCTCAAAATACTGTGAATTTAAAATCCCTGATAAAATCCCTGATGAAAATAGACAATATTTGTATCTAACATTATAATCTACTGGAATGTGCACAGGATCAGATATCCAAAGCGTGGTATTTGGAATTTGACGGAGCCATATTTTAGGCTTCTTCCAATTGCCTAAAGCATCGCAATTACCCAAAACTGAGAGTTTGTATGATTCCGTATTAAATGACAAACGAACATGAAAAATTTTGATGTTACTCATATTTAAAAAAAGTAAAACTAATGTTTAAGATGCTTTTTTTATTGAAATAGAAAAGCAAAGTAAAAAATTCAATATTCATTCCATATAAATATACATGTAAATTCCGGATGAAAAAAAAAGTCATTGTTTCTCATTTTGGTAGTGTTTTGATCCTGTGTATCGGTACTCTTTAGGTTACGCATTTACTTACTGTACGTACGTACGGTTCAGGAAACCTAAAAGCTTCAATCATTTTATATAGAATTCATTGAAGATAAACTAAATTTGTCATTCTCAATAGCATGCTACGTATATATTTGCATGTATATTGTTTTTTGCTTATTGTTTTTATGCAAAGAAATTCCCTTCGCTTATTGAGATCGATAATTTAGGAATTTTATTTCCAATGTGCTACTAGTTTATGTATCTTCTTTACATAGAATATTGAGGTTTTTAAATTTCCTGCACCGACCGTACGTACGTAAGTTAGTGATGTCCAAAAATTTTTTGCTTTTTGTATACAGTATTATATGACCACAGTTTTGATTTACATAGTACACCACGCACCCCAATTGGACGCAGTGTTGGCAAATTACAATATCATAATGTCATATGATATATTCCTATGATATAGATTCATATTAACCAGTTGCAATATGATATAGATTATGTCATATTATTACGTAAATGGAGTTGACGTAAGTCAACAGATCGAAAAGATGATTAGCATGGTGATGCGCATCGTGGAACCATCAACCAGAACAAGTCCGGTCCAGGGCTTATGTATCGATCAACGTCTACCCGGAGATTTTCTAGGTAATTTCTAAAAAGATAAATTATTTTGTTTCAAGATTTTCTTTTGCGTCTGACAAGATTTTCATCAGATCATCGCATGATGACAATAGTTATCATAAAGATATTCTATTGTTGCCGTC